CAGTCACGTGTCTTGTAAGCATAAGAACATGCTCTTACATAACTTCAATACAATGGTCGCCTTCAGAAAGTTTACTATCCAGCATACATACCAAATACAGATTTTCCAATAGTCTCCATTAGAAATATGTTTTTGGCCCAGCATCCTATCATGGGTTATGTGTTGCTTTTCTTTTCATATCTCTTTAGTCTCTTTCCCTCAGACTTGTTTTGTGAGGTGGGGAGGGACAACCAGGGACTTTGATGGCACCGACAGTTCTTGAAGAGTCCAGGACAGTTCATTTGCAGAATGTCCGGCTATGGGAGAGCTCTCCCTGCAACGAACACTTTCTTCAAAGTAGCAACATGCCCAGGTCTGGGGACCTCTATTGCATGGCTGTCAGAGTGGGCAGGAGGAGGAGATAGGACCTGGGCCACACTTCCCACTGGCTTGGAAATTAGATCTGGGATATCTAGGCCGGGTGAAATTCTCAAAATCAGATGTACTTCCAGACTGGAGTGATGGTGGTTTGGGGGGATGTGGCTGTAAAGTGGCCAGATGTGGTAGGGGACGAACAGTGAACAGCGAATAAAAAAGATAGAAGGAGGAGGAGGAGAAGAGAAGAGAGAGAAGAAGAGGAGGAGGAGAAGAGAAGGGCTGGAGTGACTCACTCATTTAAAGGCGTATCGGCAGAATGCTGAACGTCAGAGTCTAGTTTAGCATCTGAACCATCCAGAGGACAAGAGTTTCAGATTCAACCGCTCTTTACTGAGCAATTGCTTTGTGCAAAGTGACCTAGAGAAGCTTTCACGGGTTATTCCCTCCAATCCTCACAGCAGCTCCGAGGTAGGTGGAGTCCCCCTTCTATAGATAGGAACCAGAGGCTCAGAGAGGTCAAATGACTTGCTCAAGGTTATATAGATAGTAAATGGGAAAGTGGGGAATTTTTTAAGCCAAGTTTTTATTATTATCATTATAAACGTAATACATGGTCATTCAATTCACAAAATGGGGTAAAGAAAGGGCGAAAGTTTGATAGAAGTGGCCGGGGAGGAAGTGGAACTTGGTGGGACCGGGGAGAATGAACAGAATTTACATGAGAAGAGAAGAGAGGGGCTGTGCATTCCAAATGGGGCACAGTAAGAGGCAAAAACAGAGAAGAGAAGGCACAAAATGTGTTCAGAGGACTTGGCCTAGGCCCGTCCGGCTGCAACAGAGGGTTTGCCTACAATACACAGGAGCAGACAAATGACTCCCAGTGCCAAGCAGCGAAAGAGTTCTGCTTTGTAGAAACACTGCAGTTAGTGGCTGCAGCACAATCCTGAGGAAATGAATGGGAGTTTTCTCCCCACTGTCAGGGGCATTCTCTTGGATGATTAACTGACAGTTCTCCAGCCAAGCTCCAGTTCCTCCTGGAGGCCGTGACCCTTGGTGTGCACCTGCCACCGCAGACTGAGCAAGAGGATGTATTGTCTTCCTCTTTTTCTTCTGAGCTCTGCAGCTGCTGGCTGGCTTTAAGGAAATCTTTACCTAGAATGTAAACCTGCACTTCTCTGGTTCTCAGGGTCAAAGCCTCACATTTCTGGCAGATTCAGGGAAGTGGTACTTCGGAGGCTGATTTGAAAAAGCCCGTTACTCACATGGCACGGAGGGCTGTTCCCTCCTTCTTGCCTTTTTTCACTTAGTGGCCTTCTGATTGCCTTCCTCAATGCTGCACGGTGCTTTGTAACCACTGGAGCAGCAGCCTGGAATCCTGAGGAGGCGGACAGGGTCCCTCACTTTCAGGAGCAGAGAGCCGTCACCCTAAAGGGAAAGCAACTGAGCTGTTGGTGCATAATGCATGATTTGTCCCTCCATCCCAACACTTCCAGAAAGACAAGGCCAGTGTGGTAACTGCCTTGTGTAAAAGATTTTTGTGGCTTTCAAAGAATTAAAGTTTTGTTTTCCAGTCAAAGAAATATTAAAAGTTAAGTTTCTTGGGGCTTGTTAGCAAGATTTGTGATGGCCTCAAATTGGGGCTGAAGGACTTTCCATGAAGAATTCCAGAAGCCAGAGACCTTTGGGAATTAACAATAAGAGCAACCATCCATGAGCTCTTACCACGTGCCAGGCAATGTCCTAAGTGTTGCACACAAATCATCTCAGTTAATTTTATTTAATCCTAACAACAACTCTTTTCATTAATTCATCAAGTATTTATTTGTTGAGTGCCTGTGATGTCCCAGACACACTGTTCTTGTGGATGGAGACACAAAGTAGGAATAATGAATAAGTAAATCATATAGTGAGTTAGGAGGTGATAAAAGCTGTGGAAATAATTGATTAGGAGACAGGAATTCCAGAATCCTGGCATGGGGCAAGGATGGGGTATCAAGATCTCATTGAGAAGACACACTTTAATAAACACAAGAGCAAGAGGGTGAGCTGTACCATATCTCGGGGGAAGAATGATCTAGGCAGAGACAACCAACACTGACTTGGGTTAGCATAAGCAGGGAATAAAAGTAACTCATTGGAAGAATATTAGAGAGTTTTCTAAGGAAGAGTGGAAATTGCGTATTATTTTTGTAGTGGGCAGAATAATGGTCCCCAGGTTTGTCTGCATCTTAATCCCGGGGAGCTGTGAATATGTTAGGCTACTCAGTAAGGGGGAATTAAAATTGCAGATGGCATTAAGGTTGCTGATCAGCTGACCTTAAAATAGGGAGAATATCTTGGATTATCCAGGTGGGCTCAATGTAATCATTAAGAGCCCTTACAATTACAAGAGGGACGCAGAAGAGAGAAAACTAGAGAGATGGCAGTGTGAGAAGGACTTGCCTCAATGTTGCTGGACTTGACAATGGAGGAAGGGGCCATGAGCCAATGAGTGTGGTGGCCTCCAGAAATGGGAAAAGGCCAGGAAATTCTCCCCTAGAACCTCCAGAAAGGAATGCAGCTTTGATTTCAGCCCTAGGAGACTTCTAACCTGCAGAATTGTAAGGTAATAAATTTGTATTGTTTTGTGGTAATTCCTACAGCAGCTATAGGAAACTAACACAAGCACATCTACAGAAAATGTCCCCAAGATTCATCAACTTCAGGCTTCGGGAAGGATAGGCACCTGGGCGTAAGTTGATCTCTTTTGATCACCCAGGATGAATCAGCTTCAACCCTTTTCCTTGCTTGGGTCACTGCTCTCTACAATCAGCTGGTACCTGGTCTGTTTGAAGAACATCATCACTGTGGCTGGAGCTGAGTGAGAAAGAGGAAAGTGGAAGAAGATGGGGTCAGAGTGGTGTTGGGGACCAGGGCTTGCCGGGTCTCCTAGGCAATTGAGACACACAGGTACTCTATTGGGGAAATATGAAAAACCCCAGTATATAGAGGAGGAAACTGAGAGATTAAATAACTTTCCCAAGTTTAAACAAGTGAGGTTTGACTCTGATCCTCTTTGCCTTTAAAGCCCTTGCTGTCGTCAGTTCAGCCAAACTCCTCAGAATAATGGGAGGATGATAAGTGGCTCCTAGTGATGCCATTGCAACATCTATGTGTCATCAAATCCCCATGATGGTATGTTAAGGCAGCCCCATTTGCTGATGCCACAGTGTTAGTCAAGAGCATCACACCTCCTATAAAAACAATGAAAGCAGTGGTCCTTATTTCAGCATTTTAAGTAGAGCCGGGCCACACCATGGCACAAAACCTTCACTCGCTTTCGTTCTCCTCCTCATTCCCTTTCTTTTTTCCCTCACTCTCTGCCTTTCTTCCATTCCTGGAGGACCAAAGGGATCCTTCCTTCTGACTTTCCAGCTGTAAATTTTGTTAAACTAAATAAGGAACTTCTGTTAGTTAGACTTGCTTATGATCTTCTTGCTTTTTAACCACACTGAACCTGAATCTCTATGCTTTTCGCATCCTTTGAGATTCAAGTTGAGCTACTCTCTGTGTGTATGTAGGTAGCCGGCCATCTGTTATTTCTGCCTGGCAGCGTTCCTTCCCTCTTCTCCTGCTAAGAGTGTCCTAATTTTTCTGTGGGAAATCACGCCACCCCCAATGTATCCAGTCTTGGTAGCTCTGTCAATCAAGGTGCCACATCCTTTCCTTGCACTAGACTCAAGCTTAGTGAATCAACCTTCCTGGGAATTTGAATCTAGAGAGCAATGCACCAAGTATGAAAAATGGCTGAAGCTGCTTCACTCTGCAGGATCTAAAGAGACCAACGCGTTTCAGGGTGAATGTCTTTTCTGAAGCCATGAATTGTTGGGGAGTTTTCTGTAGATATAGTAATCTCCACTTTTCACTTTTTCTTGGATTTAGTAAGCTCTCCATAATCTTCCAACAAATTAGTTTTAATTTTTCCCGCTTATGTTAACACAAGTCAGTGCTGGTTCCTTGGAATTCAAACAAACAAACAAACAAACAAACAACTGATAAAATCTTGCCCTTTGACTAACTAGCTTAATTTACTTAGGCTTTAATATTTTGTACTTCAAAGGCTTTTAGCTCTCTGTGTTACTAAGTATGACTCTACCCTCCATTAAGATGTAGATTTTGCTACTTTACATAGAGTATATTTTTCTCTACATGCGTGTTTTCTTAAACCCTCAGATTGGAATAAAACAATTCATCTTATAATTTATTCAATAACCAGCATCTTTCCTTTATTTAGCCTTTTTTTTTCTTCTTCTTAGGAGTAAATGTATAAAGAGATGGTCCAAAGTTTCAAGCTAGGATCCCTTTCCTATTTGCTTTAAACTTTATAGAAAACTCCCCGAAGATTCTTCTACCTATTTTTGTGGTGTCTACATACAAGTAAAATTCTGGAGTGAAGGTGCTATATGCCCAGAAGTTCCCTTGAACATGCAAAATGGTACTTGGAGAGAGTACTTTGTTATATGTTAATTCTTTAGTTGTAATACTTTCAGATGGATTACTTTATCATAATAATGATGTAACATAGTCAAAAGTTTTAAGTTCTGGTCAATGGCATGTAAGCAGATGTGCTATACATGAGTCCCATTTTCTCCTCCTTCCTGCAGAATGAATTGTAGATGTGATGGCTGGAGTTCAAGCAGCCATCTTGTGCCATAAGATGAAAACTACACACTGAGGATGGTGGAGCATCAAGAGAGAAGGAGCCTGAGTCTGTGAGGACTTCTTAAAGCTGCTCTGCCAGCCCTGGGCATTCAAATTTTTTATATATGTAAAAGAAAAATAAATTCCTATTTTGGTTAAACCCTTGTTACTTGGATTTTCTGTCAGTTGCAAATACCATATTCCTAAACCCTAGTTGATATAGGTAGTAGGTATATTCCAAATGGAGTACTTGCTTCCCACCCTCACTCCTTGCCATGCAGTAGGCACACTTCCCTTAGCCCCCTCCACTGATCTTAAATATGGTACAGGATGAAGTACATTTACCTCACGACGACAACAAAGAATACTGTGAAACACAAATGTTAAATATACACGCCTGTTATATCCAGTCACTGAATATTCCTAGACGGGCTCAGACTTGATCTTCACCTCACCCACACCTGCTGAAGCTCTATTTTTACCCTGACCTACAGGGCAAGCTCTCAGGCTGAACTGGCCTCTATTTCTGCAGGGAGACTTTGCCGATTTCCTGGAACTCTATGGAAGGCTCCAACTTTGGTCTTTTTCAAGGCCATACAGTTTGAATCTTGACTCCACCACTTTTCCGCTCTTTGACCCCAGGCAATTTATCGAATCCCTCAGTATCTCAATTTTCTTACGTATAAAATGAGAATAATCTCGTAGTCGTTGTAAGGATTGAAGAAGCAATACACACAAAGCTCTTGGTGCCTAATGAATAAAAACTCCCCAAAGAGGATCATTTCAAATTATGACTATTTTTTTCACTCCAAAAGAGAAAGTATGAAAAATCACAAAGACCTTGACAAGGGAAAAACCTATCGTTGGAGATGAGTAGACAGGAGCCTTGAAATTCTTAAATTCTCAGTGGAGCTGTTTTCTTTCTGATTAACACAAAATGATGATGCCAGAGAATTGAGAATTTGAGCTCCATGACTTTTTTTCTCAAGGAAAAAACAAATCAGCCCTCATTTAACAACGTCTCTTGGTGGCTCTGAGCTAGTTCCGTCTCAGTGTTACCTGATTTTGGCAGATTTACCAGGAAGACAAGATTACAGGGCCCACACTCTTCTTTTCAATCTTTCTGGAAACTTATTTGTATCTTTATGTCAACAGAGTGAAGAAAAGATAGTGTTTCATTTGGAGCAGCCCACAGCTACTGGCATGCTCCTTAATTAGTGTCTGTGACCAGTTAGCATTGTTTAGATTTCACTCAACACACTTACCCAGAAACGCGCTCCTTCTCTGCTGCTGGGGTGTGCACCAGCTGTCTTTAATCTCTCAGCACCCAGTTCACAGACCAAAAATTCTGTTGTGGGCACAAATGTCTGAAAGTGGACATTTCTACTAAGGAGACAACTTTCATATATCTTTGCCATTAAAAACAAATAACTAAATAAATACCCAAACAAACACTACAGACCAAAAGAGTAGTGCCTCACTTCCACCTAAACTAAACTAAAGATTTGGCTCATGTGGAAATTACATCTCTTTTTGGTCAAGAAAATGCTGCTCTTCTCTTAGAAATAATAAACTAATCCCTCAATGCCATTTTGAAGACTAAACATATCCATGACAGAGAAAAAGGACAAAGAAGCTTATGCTTTCAAGCGAAGAGGTCATTATTTCCATTGGCCAAACCACACATACTTCATTTCTTATGAAAGTATGCTGCTGAATGGCACTTTAGTCCATTGCCTCTTTTCCTAAATGTGTGAACAGCAATGTCTGCAGACAGGGCTTGCCCGCACACCTGGATGCATTCCTCTCATTCCAATACTTGGAGCAATGGGGCACAGGGCAACTCTTGTCAAGGTTGGATGGAATCGGATGCTTGTGGTAAGGAGATCTCAGCCCCCATTGGGGGCCTTGACTCTGCATTTCTCCAGTAACTTATGCACATTGTATTGTGACGTCTGTCTCTACGACTTAATCATTTTATAACCCCAGCACTCAGTACAATTTTGGGTATACAGCGGGTAGTCTATTAACGTCTGTTTAACTAATAATAGAAAATAGCATTTTATACATGTTTATTATCTGCCAGGCACTGTTCCAGGGCCTCTGCAAATATTAACTCATTTAATCCTCACAACAATCCTATGGGTAGCTGTTATTATTGCTCCAATTTATAGGTGAGAGAACTGAGTCATAGAGAGACAAAGCAACTGTCTCTTAAGTGGCAGAGTTGGGATTTAAACACAGGAATTCAGGTTCTAGAAGATACGGTCTTGACCATCACACTACACTTCCTCTCTCTGCCCACATCCCAACCTCCAGGCCTGTTTGCCTCATCTAACCAGGTGGTCCCTGGAGTCCCGTCTGTTGTGTAGAGTGTTTCTAGTCTATGGCTCTTTGATAGCTAACGGAGCACAGAGAGCTTTTCCTTACCTCCCCATCCTCCTTCCTCAAACATCCCCAGGTCTCCACTTCCTGATAAGAGCACGGAACCATGGTTTGCCCTTCTTCCAAAAGTAGAACGCTTCCATAAAAGTACAGCTATTTGAACAAACAAGAAAATCACACATGGTCCCCATTCTTCCAATTTCATTTTAATGTAAAATTAGGTCATAAGCATCATAGGATTCCAAGAATTCCGTTCAACAGCTGCCTGTCACCACAGATGAACCAGCACAGATAGCTGGGGACCTATGCCATCACAAAGGGCCCTTAATGATACATGAGAGACCAGAAAGCACAAGCTCTGGCCTGAGCAGCCACCCAGGAAAGTGTTAGGGAGCCGTCAGAAGGAAAGGAGGAAGTGGAGGCTGTAGATGTGTAAGTGTTTTTCCCAAGAAGCTAAACTTCAAAGGAAAGGAGAGGGGATCAACAGCAGCAACTGGGACACAGAGAGGAAGAAAGATTTTTTTTAAAGATTGATAAATATGTCTATAGTTTGCAGAGAAGTTGATAGTGAGAGGTGGAAAATACCAGGCGGGAGAGGGGATAATGTATAAAATATGAGTCTGATCTTGGTTAGACGGGAGGGTGTGGGACGGAGAAAAGTGATCTTGAAGAGAAGGAAGGGCATCTTTTCCTTTTACAAAGATGAAGTGAGAATGGGTCCCACATGTCCTCAGCTGATTTATTCCTCAGACTGGAATCTTGAATAGCGGGGGCATAAAAAACTGAAAACCATCTTTGGGGGGCTTCACTCGTCCCACAAATAGCTCTTCCAGGAGAAGTAAAGGAAAAACTAGTTTTAAAATGTTGGTGGCTATTGTTGGGTATGTTAAAATGGGGTGCCCCATTTTATAGCAATATACAGATATCTTTCATAGATAGAAACATGAAAGTCTGGGGAATGAGACCCCAAACAGCCAATGTAGCCCTCAATCAACCATCTGGGTCCTTAAAGAAAATTTGTCTGCAGAAAAGAAAGCAAGGCAAAGTGACACTTTTTTAATCCACTAACGTAAATACCCAATATGTTTCAGGCACAGGGATAAAGCAATGAACAAAATAAAGTCCTGCGTGCATAGGATTTACGTGCTATCTCCAAATTCATCAAGAAAAGTGTGACCTCAGATTGTCAGCCCAAGCTCCCTGTTCTGCCTGCCTCCCTCCCAGAGACCACCCTGAGATGTGAGAATGGCCACACCTGCCATGCTCAATGGCAAACAAGAGAAAGTGAAAGAAACAGAACGTTTGCCCTCACAATGAAAGCAGAACTGACGAAGGCCACCTGTCCCAGCAAGGGAGGAGGGGAGGAAGCTGCCCCTAGCCTGCCGATGGCCTGGAGACGCAGAGAGGACCTGCTGCTGGGCTTCACCCGCTCGGCAGCAGCCCTGAATCCGGTGTCCTCTCAGGTCTCAGGAAGCCATGAGCCGTGAGTCAGAGTCCACACCCACACACGCTAGGACCTAACTCAGCACAGTGAGGGAGCTGAAGCCTCCAAGCGCTTTCTTAATTGGGTTTGGATAGTTACTCAGTGTCAGTTTGAAATAATTATTTCTTGGCCTGAATAAGTAAGTATTCAGTGGCCACTTAAATGTTCTAAAACTGGACCAATCCATAAAAACTCCTCTCTCGGGAGTAGAGAGAAGTTGGAAAGAAAGAAGAGAGGGGCCATGAATTTCCTAGCTCACAAAAACCAAAATTCACCCTCATTTTGTTCTTTCTCCTGTTAACCCACGTGTTTGACAGCCATGCCAATGGCCTATAAAGTTTCATACCGAGGTCTCATGGGAGGACCTGCACACAACTCATGAGGCTGTTTCTCCAATTCTTACTGCTGCTCCTATCTTTTTTTCTTGTAACCAACAAGATGAGCAGTCTGAACCCACAATACCTTTTAAATACCTGTTTAAAGTCTCTCAATTCTATTACCCAGCCTCCTGGGTGAGCATTCACCCAAGCAACACAGTTGGTAACATAAAATGCTTCAAATCGAGATAGAAAATGGAAGATTCACTGTTATTTTACCCCATCCTTAGATTCCCAAATCATCATGTAAACGACACTGAATTGGTCTTCAACATCATTCACGATCTTAACTCATCTATCTTTTTGATCTTGAGCTACAGTTTGTCCAATGGACATTTTGTGCACTGCAATTTTCTTTTGGCTCCAGACTTTGGCTTGACCTGTGTATTCCCGGGCCTTTGCTTCAAAAGCGTAGTCTCCTACCTGGTCTGTCCTCTCTTTCTGCCCAACCTATTTACATAGTCTTTTCTCCCATCCCACCTCTTCTGTGCAGCTTTCTCCAGCTGACTCCAGCCCATGGGACTCTCCTTTCCCTCAACTCATAGAATGCCTACTATCTGTAGCTAAAAGCATTCTGGACCCAATTCCAAGGTGTGGGTGTGTGGGTTCCCCCTGCACCCCTACATCCAACAAGCAAGTCTCTGACACCAGCTAAGTGTCCTACAATTTAACTTAATTCTGACACTGTTTACCCAGGGATAGCTTCAGATCCCACAGGTTAAGGTCCCACAAGTGTGCCCTCCCCAACTAATTTAGCCGCAAGTTGCAAGTCCAGGTTGTCACCTGTGCTTCTGACCGACAGGCTACAGACTGGAGGTTCCCACGACATCCTCTCAGGTTCGATTAATTTGCAGCTCAC